CGTTCTCTCTTTTTGTTCTGGATACAAATGATTCTTGGACTGTACTATAGACCCCCTCCCCATCTTGGATATACGTTCTCGGATTCACGACTTCAACGCGCCTCGGTTCACGCATACATGCCTACACTCGCACCTACACTTACCCGCACATACACTCATACGACACGCAACTCATATCCATATCCTTATGATCCTTCGCTGTAGATGATTACCCCCATTCTCAGGTTTGCACCTCATGTACATGGACCGCCGGCTCGAAATTCGCTGTGATATATACTCAACCTCGCTATCTTCGTCTCGTCTCGTCGTTACTCGATCAACCTTCTCGTTGACATCCTCATCTTGGTATCTTTCTATCCATATCCGTACTCGTATAGTATAGTGATACGTTTTGGCAGGAGATGTACAGTTTGCGTACGCAAATTCGCGTCGGGCTCGAGGCTTTCGAGTCTGGAGAGTATGAACGCAGAACGTCTGGCAAATCCGCCGTAGCGCATGAGAACGGGGCCAAGTATCGGGTTCGTTCGTTCGTCTGAGATTGCAGTCGCCCGCGGGAGGTTGCATTCTCGGTCTTTGGGCACATCGAAGGCTTGAGTCTAGACGTGTATCCGTCGCGTTGGGCCCATAGGCAATGTGACGGGCAGCGCGTCGTGAGAGGTACGCTGCCGCTAGGATCGGCTGGGACTATCTCGGGTAGATGAAGAGCGTTCGGTGTAGCTATGCAGTGGTGATAGCTATTCAATGTTCAGCAATGCGCCTTTTGACTCCAGATGAGCAGGACTGTACGCACGCAAGGTCCAACCGACGGGGGTGCTATCGAAAACGCCGGAGGGAGCGAGTCATGTCGATCATGCACTGGAGCTGCGTGTCCTCAAACGCCTCGTCGAGTTCTGTCGCAATGAGAACAGTTGGGTAGATCGTTCGCGAGCTTGATGGTGGACTCGACGACTAGCGTAGTCTGAGGGGAAACCGCCGCATAGTAATCCACATCGCGAAAACGCCACTTGCTCTAGTGTACGGCGTCGTAGCCCGTGCCCCATGCCCGTGCATCCCAGAAGAACCCAGTGTTGGGCAATCTGAACACGAACGACGAGCGGCAATACTGCCCGTTGTTTCGGATACGATCCACCCGAAAGCGAGCGCAAACTTGAAAGATGTCGGATGCACCACGAAGTCAGGGAGCGTCGCCTTCAATGAATCCAGTCTAGACACCGGGTGGGCGGATAGCTCTTGAAGAGCGGCGACGGCGTCTTGCCCTCCGCCATGAGGAACGGGCTGCCGCTGAACCTCACGGCCAACCCCACCAAGCACTCGAAAGAAGGGGAATCGCGACAATGGTCCTCTACGAGGTGCCCGGGCGATGGAAGGTGGCGCCATTGGATAGATGTCAAGGTGCGCAGAGACTCCCGATAGTACCACACAGGAGCCCGGGAGCGCTCGTCCAAACGCTCATGCTTCCCTGCCGCGACGCGAGCATTACGGTTGCCCATGGTAGCGAACTGCATCTTTGGGAAGAGGCGACACCAGGCTGTGGGTCAGGTTAGGGTTAGAGACGAGGGCTGGAACGGACGCGGAACGCGACGACGGACCTGCTTCGTTGAGCACTAACTTGTTGCGTAGCATATTGCGTATCGCCCAAACCGAATGTCGTGATCTTCACCTCCCGCAGCTTTGACTCTGAGTAGTAGTGAGGTTCCACAGCACTAATATACGCGCAATCAATGCATTCCTGAAACGCGAGGTGCACTGATAAGGGAGGCAACTCACATCTTCGCTTTTGCAGTTTGCAATCCTCGGCTTGCGATGCCCACGCTTCTAGTTGGGGCATTCCCTGACAGTACGTTCACGCCCGTTCAGGTGTAGAGATGCTCACGATACATACCGCCATAGCTTAACCAACTTCCGCTTTCTTCCGCTCACGGAACACTGGAACGGGTCTTAAGCCGCCCTCGCTCGTCCCGAGCTTCTTGAGATGCCTATTCACTGCGATAGGATTCGACATTCAGTAGCAGCGACTGCGTGGGGCAGGACCATGGGAAGTGTGCGCTTACTGTAATGCATGGTGAGTCTCGAACATCTGCCAGCAAAAGTCTAGACACTACCTTTCATGCGCCTGTGTCCATCCTTTCGCAGATAGCCTTGCATGAAGACTTCCACACGAGGCTTCAGCGCGCTCAAGCTCTGTCATATGTTCTTGCTCGTGCGCGCTAACGATAGCAAGTCGGCAGGGAGCACTGCAAGAAAGATCTGGACATACGGTAAGCGGGATCCAGCAAGTAATTTTCGGGAGCCATCTCTGAAAGAGGATGTTGAGAGGCATAATCATGATATTCGCCAATCAGCCTTGAACACGCGATCGGGATGCAGGCTTCACTTTCACTTGTATTGTTCTCATAGACAGCGAGGAAGAAGGGAAGCCGTGAACCGAGCTTCCCATTCCATTCGCCTTCTTCCCGCCTTTGCGCGGCGTTCCTATATGGAATATATATGGAATATCAGCAGGGGTTACCGGAACGAACAAGGCAGCCACCTCATGCCGCAGTGGCCGTCTGCCGCGCATTCACTTTTAATGCCCTTTCATCATCCCTCGTAACGTATGGACCATGAGAGGAGTTTTCTTCTGTGCTGTGACCGTGCTCGTTCTCAGCATGGAGCAGAGCGACATGAGTCTACCGACGGGAGACTATTCCTGGCTGCAAGCGCCGCGGTGCGGCAGCAGCCCAATCAGGCTTGCTGTCGCGTGGACAAACTGGACGGATATCATGTCGCATAGCGTTTCACATAGATCATCGTATTTTGAAAGCGTATGACATCACTGAAGACTGAGCCTAGGGCAGAAAACGCGTCCGATAAATGGCGACGTCGTGGTCGAGGTGCAAAACGGCAGACGCGCTTCGACGCGCCTCGTGGGTCAACGGACCGGCTCAGCTCGGCCCGGGCGTTATCTACTTGATAAGACGATGATAAGATTATTCCAGCCTTTTGGCTTGCGCCGTGCGGCCTTCGACCTGCCATGCACTACGAGCTCTTCCTTCACATGAGACGTCGAGCTGTTATGATATATTTCGTCCCTATCCGTGGTCATAGACTATGAAGCACATCAAGTACGAGATCTTGAGCCCAGGCTAGGCAACTACATCATGATCGTCCTACTACTTTGGATCTACTACTCTACTGCCGGCGGGCTACTCCGGCGATCCTGTTACTAGACCAACCTCCCGCATGCCTTCGACAAAGATAGCTCAACCTGTAGATGCGCCATATATGGCGCGTGATACGGAAATCGGACCGTATTGCTTCTCCAGACGCGCGCTTGCTGTGAGTCAGGCTCTCGATCGGCTTCATCTGAACGTATCGTTATCCTTATGTGCCTCCAAGCCCATAATTCTGTGTCCGCAAGGCAACCTGCAGGTATCCAAAGCCACTTGGCTTCTCGTAGAACGTATCCAGAATACGTCTCTGATATCGCAACATCCGCCAGCGGCGACGGGAGGAGGTCGTGGATTGCAGCAGCATGCATGAGCATGGCGGAGCCTTCAGGTCTTGTGCACCTTGTGCGTCGATCAGACGACAATCTGGCACCCATGACTACTGAGAACATATGTATGCGACACGTATCTTAGATGAGCATGTGAGAGTACACAAGCTACGTGTAGTTGGTATCCTACACTCGTACAAAGCGCTGTACGTAGTTCCGATCATGGAGATCGCATTGCCATCCGAAGAGCGCCCGCATGAGCGCCTCATGCTCACAACAAACGACGCGATCCCACAAATTCCATTATCGAAGCCATCTGAAGATCCTATTGACGTTGAGCCACGGACATGAGGGCACTGAATGGTCCATCCAGAAGCAAGATGTAGGGATGGCTTCATGCAAAGATGCCGATCTCTAATGCGGCGCCTGGTGGAGAGAGAGCTGATATAGACGCTCGCATACGTAGATCAGGTGTAGCGCTCTTTCTTGTCATCAGACATGGCATTGCGACCGGGAAGATCAACAGCATGGGAAACGGCACCAGAAGGAAGCAATACGTACCATTAAGCTTCGCAAGAACGTATGTCAGACGTTCGGATGAGCAAAGATGAAGGAAGCGGAGTTCAGAGTAGATGTATAGGCATGTGCGCGACAGCGCAAGGAAGATTGAGGGACATGCTGTCCGAATTCTCAGGCGAAGCAAGGCGAAACGAGCCTGCGGCGTGTTGTAATCTACGTGTTGTGGCGCCCAGTTCCGGGTACCATGTTAACATCGGGAAAGGCTGCGGATGAATGTAGCGTCGAAGAACCCCGGGCCTGTGATTGCGAATAGTGCACATCATGGTTGAGAACAAAGAACTTGCATGATGAGTAGCCAGACCGCGGCGAAACGGCAAACACCGAGATCCCGCTTGATTCCCGGTAACATCCGTTGTTCCGCACCTCTACTTCGAAGTAGTAGAATTGATGGCCAACCGGTTCACGACGTCAAAGCCTTCAAGCTCTTGGAACTTGGTGAGAGGAAAGGGAAGACTTCTCGTTGGGCGATCGAAGAACATAGCACAGCCTGCAGCTCGAAGGCTTCCTCACAAGTTTTAGCCTGTTTCGTTGAACCTGAAGGGGTGCGCATCGGGGAGCGGTGCATATGGCAGACGACGCACGCGCAACCCTGAGAGCACTTCGAGGTGATCTGGCGCCGTGGGAATATACTCACGGCCACTGCACAAGAGAGATCAGTGGCGCGGCGCTCAGAAGCCCGGCAGGGCGATGGCAAGGCATCATGTTTCAGTCACAGGATTCAATTCACCAAGGCAATAGGCGAATGACATCGGCGAACCTGCCACACTAGCTTTCACGTAGACAATGGCAATCCTGTGCAAAACCACAAAGCTCTACCCAACCCAAGCAACTGTGCATCCACATAAAAGTACAGAATCACCGGTACTCAGCCCCGCAGTCCCCTATGAGAGTGACCATCCTTCTTCCGTTCGACCGTTCGAGCACTTCTTCGATCTTCGCGCGATCCTCGTCCTCCAGTCGAAGCGCGGCTACTCTTAGGTTATCTTCGACGTGTTCTGAGACCCCTAGTCGCACGCCGACAAGCACCGCACCGACGAAGGGGTGATCGAGAACCCACCGCGTCGCAACGTTTGCTATGCTGGCACCACCACGCAAGTCACCGATCTCGCGTAGCGTGGAAAGTAAATCTTGGAAGAGAGCCCAATCACCCCACGCCTTCGTAATCACGTCCAGGTACTGTGTACTGGTCAGATCGCGTGTAGACATGCAAAGCACTCCCGCACCTTGCGCTGCGATGGAGTGAGTTGGCCGGAGTAGGGGTCCGGTTCGGCTTGTCCAAGCCATCTATCCGACAAAAAACCCCCACACTGAAGAAGATCAGTCGATCGAAAGGAACAAACGATACGCATGAACATACGAGGGTCCCGTACGTAAGTAGTTTCAGGCCGTGCCTGCAGCAAACGTCGTTCATGCCATGCAGAGGGCGCGTGTCAATTAGTGAGAACTGAAGAAGGGCATGAGGACTATGTGTAAGGAAACCCGTCCATAGCTCCAACAAACCTGAACCTGATGTGTTGCTATAGCACCTGGACCAAGCTGAGCACATATCTCGTCGACGCGAATGGAATCGAAGTTGACCAGGCCGATGTTGAGGATCAAGCCCTCTTGCTTCAGGTCGACAAGGTGCTGCAGCGCAGTGAGGTATCCCTTGTTACTGTAGTCATTCCAATGGAACTAAAGGTCATCAGTGTGGCGCATGCAGGACAACGAACAAAGTGACTAACCTGCAGTAGATCCACCGACTTGATTGACCGCATGCGCGACATGCGCTCACGAACGGCCGCCTCGACGACCTCCCGGGTAGGGTTGATGCCTTTGAAGACGCACCACTTGGTTGCACCTAGTACCTGCCGGTCTTCCGGTAAGGATTCGCGGACTTGCCCGAACAGGATCTCGGCGGGACCGTAGTGGTCGGCTACGATCACGCCCGTGAGTACTCTGGGTTGTATACAGTGCGGATCTACGATCAACGCACCCTGATGATGAACGGACACAGCATGATATAGTCGGTACACACTCTACCAGTATAATCATGCTACGCACCATATCTGAATCGGGACTGCAGTGAGACACAGCGTCACGAGAAGCGATCGGGAAGAGCTCACCGAATGCATTGAAGCCTTGCTCGATATGTCCAATCATAGCGTTTCGAACTTTGGATGCCGAAGCAGATCCCCATGCCGTACTCGAGAGCTGCCAAAGACCGACCCAGAGGCGGGGAACAGTAGTAGAAGATCCTAACTGGAAAGATTCGAGCTGAAGGGCGCGACCGTATCCGTAGTGTGTAGAGGAAGACATGATGGCAACAAGTAATATGCGAGCACGGTGGTGGGTTGTCGGTTGCAGGTCGTCGCTAAAGGTATCCGGTCTTTTAAACGACGAAGAGATCCGGATAAATTTGATATTGACGTATGGAGGATATGTCCCTGAACGACAGTCAATGGGGCTACCGCAGAAACGAGGGGGATGCCGCCAGGGCGGAACGCAAGGGGTCCAACATCCTGGACTCCTCGGTGCGGGTCAACTATAACAGCAATTCAGAACCAGGCCAAATCGTGATACTCTCGTGCACCCGCTAATTGGGCCCGCTGACCGGGAATTGTTGGTAGGCCGAGACGACATCACTACGCAGAGGGGTCCGGGGATGCAGGTCGCCATTGATTCCGATTCCAGCGGAAGTGATGAGCCAGACGCTAAAAGGGCGAAGAGCGGCGAGGGCAACCAGCTGTGACACCCACTCCCCGCATCGTCCTCCACGACATGCCTGCCCCTTTAGTCGACGTGAATGTCAACGACGACGCGAACCTGCGCCTATTGAACCATGTGTACGCCTCGTCACGCGCACTTTCCCGCGCGAGTCAAGCTGAACGTCACGCAGAAACCTCATGGTGGATTCCTTCGTCGCCAATGCAGATGCGGACGAGTGAGTACACTCCGTAAGCCCACCGATATCGCGCATTGAGTTTGTGCTTAGTCTTCGGGCGACTGTGCGCGCTTTGCTCGCATCTACATCGCCGAGCACCGCTGTAGCTTTCACCAAGGCAGCTCGTGCGCGACTCACCAAGACGCACACCGCTCATGTCGCGCCTGGTAGCCAACTGTTTGCACCAGATCCATCTCATCCTGGGTTCGTAACTCCAGGTCCGGACATCACGGACGTCCTTAGGCATGCGCGCGCACTATACGGCTCGGGCCTGGGCCTTGCGGGTTTCGAACTACTCTTGGAGGTTGTGCAAGCCACTCGCGGCCTCCGCTGGGCGGAGAATGGTCCAACTGGGGACTTGCTTGCCGTCATCGACGCGGACTGCTGCCAGGCCATACAGAGTGCCAAGGAGGAGATAGACGGTGGACGCGCGGGCCACCCTGATCGCGTGCGCGCTACCATTGCTCGAGCAAGAGTTGTCCTCGGACAGAGCGCAAAGGATGTCGCCACTTGGTCTTCCGACTTTCCCTTCGAGCGAGCGTTAACCAGTATAGAAGTATGGAAAGTCTGAACTCGTATAATATGTACTTGTATGCACAAAACTGTTATCTCAAATGACCGCGACATTCGGTATATAGCGATCGAATAAACGACGGATGCTACCCCTGCTATGAAGCATTTGTGATCAGGCGCCAAGGGAGAGTACATACATAGTCAAGGGTTGAGAGCATCACTGGCGCTGTGTGATCAGCCAGGATCAGCGCTCAGCGCTCAGCCGTCATAGACCTTCAGTACCTGAGGATGTATCGGTAGACTGCGCGCCAACAGAGCCGTCAATCCGCCGGCCCACGGCCGGGCGGCAAACAATGTTAGAATTGCAGCTCATCTACTGCGACCGGACGTGTACGTATATGTACGTTAGGGATCGGCAGACGCGCCTGGATTACTAGGTCCGCCCTGCATCGCCCGGCAATGCGTATGGAGACCGGGGTGCGGCCCCTTAGAATCGCCATTAAACCCATTTGGGGAGAGATCCCTCGAAGACTTGCATCTGTCAATGTATTGAGACAGACGGAACGGGTCATTGTCTACATGACATACCCATCGAGAAGTAGCAGCGGGAGTGAAGGTTGCTGGGCTTGAAAGTACGGTGTATAACTTGGTGAGCGACGACTTGGGCACCGGGTGTCTGAGTGGCGTTTCAGAGCAAAGTCCTAACTATGTTAACCTTCTCGGAGCCGTGCACGGTGACCCAAGGGCCCAGCACGGAGATCCGGCCTGGATCTCGACGCCTAAACGCAAGACTGAGCAATCAGGGCAGTACAAGGCCGCAGCATGGTCACACGTTTGCCCTGCATAGCTAGGCTCTTACCAACAGGACGCCAGCAAATGGTCAAGAAATTTACGCACATACTGTGACCCCTCCCACTACCATGACCTAGATTGTTTGCCTGTGGAGTCAGGTGGGCCGCCTGTTCTTCAAGTCAAACTGTAGGGTCGACTATCTCGTGTATATCGAGTGCTCGTGACAGCAGACGCACTGCACTAGGGTGCTTGGACCCGGGCTGTATCGCGGTGCCGCGGGGTCGTGGTGGTCTCAGATGAGGTGCTAGGGTACATGCGGACTCGGTATAGACTACTGATGCCACGTGGGCCACCTGCCCATCTGCCCCCTACGAACATGCGCGGCGTCCTCGTCGCGCAACAAGCTCGAAAACCTCGTCCTAACTGCTAACAGGAATGCCTCAACGAAGGCGAAGCGCCAAGTGTGGCTCAGGCCCTCTCGCGACACGGTCACGTGAGCTAGGGCCTGCCTGCCCCCACTAAAACTCGCGCGGCGTCCTCGCCGCGACCGCGCGTCCAACCGAGTGAACGAAGAGCACGAGAAAGCTTGATAAGCCGAGGGTCGGAGTCCCATGCGAGAACGGAAGGTGTAGACGTAGATGGTGAAGTGTATGGCGAATTTGATGAACAATGCCGTGAACGTGGTGTGTGCGAACGTGGAGGTCGAACACGTCGTGATCGTCGTTGAAGAGTTCCGAAGGGCCGTATATTGTCGTCCGAACGTAATATTGATAAGTCGCGTAGAGGATGATTTGATGGAGTGACAGGTATATCGTGCGAGTTGATGACGGGAGGATCGTCCGAGGTGCCCACTTGTACGGCACAAGACGAGCGAATGGCCGAAGGGTCGGTCTGAGATGATGTGTCCGTGGTCGCAGCAGGTGAAGTGGTTTGGGATGAAGTGTTTGCCGTAGATGTTGCGATGGTCTGGACAGCGCGATCGACCGGAGTATGCATGGCTCGAATATCCCGGGTAACTTCTTGCAATATCTCCGGGCACGAGCGTGCCGCACCCACAGCAGCCGAGCGCCACGTTTCCGTGCCCTGCTCCTTCCAAAAGGCCCGACGACCGTCCTCGTAGCCATCGGCGTAGCCCGTACGTTGACCGTCTTCGAATGCTTCATCGTAGTCGGTGCTCGTGGTCGGGATCGAGACGTGATTGACTGATACACTGAGAATGTCCTTCGTGGACACGAAGAGCGCTTCGAGTTCGCGCATGCGACGGGTCGTGGAGCTGTAAGACGGATTCGACTCGAATGCGGGTAGCATGCCCTTGATCGCGGACTCTAGCGTGCTCCACGGGTCGGTCGAAGAGGGTATAGGTGGACTGGGAATGGAAGCCGGGATGCCGAAGACGTCCAGAGGCGCTTCGCTGGCAGCGCGCGCACGCCACGCGGCAGTCGCGTCGCGTTTTTTCTTCCCCATCGACAAGTACGAGATGAGACCAAAAACAAGAACAAGAGCAAGCTAGTAGAGCAGTAGGTCTAGCGAAACGCGCACTCTCGTCACCATATGCACTAGGGTGCTTGGACCCGGGCTGTATCGCGGTGCCGCGGGGTCGTGGTGGTCTCAGATGAGGTGCTAGGGTACATGCGGACTCGGTATAGACTACTGATGCCACGTGGGCCACCTGCCCAGCACAACAATCGATACGTCTCGCGGGACAATACACCTAAAGATGGTCTGGAGTAAGCTCCGTATATGCCCATTCGGACAGGGTGAAGCTACCTCATGTAGGCGATTATACATAGCCGGTGTTCAAAGCGGAGTAACATGTTGCCGTGTGCTGCGACACCAAATTGCATTGTACGCCGCTTCACAAAGGCCGCATGAATACCGGCCGCCGCCGGTACGATGCCCCGTCTACAAGTTCTCGCGAGAGGGGTAAGGACGTCCATCATGATGCCCGCCTGCTGCGTAGAGTTTTGTCGGCGCGCTGGGCAATGAGGGTTCATGGCAGTCGTGTCTTCAAACGCACAGCGTGCTGCGAGAAGCAATTCATATTATAGCATTCCCCGACTTGATCGGCGTAACGACGAATGAATGCAGTGCCGTCTACACTCAAATATCTGGGCGCTCAGGTCAGAGGCCGATGTCTGGGGTAAATTGTCAGCATCGTACAAGCGCGATATACGGCATCCAGACAGAAAGGCGGTGGCTCTGAGACAGTACTACACACGGTCAGGATCAGTCGGCCAAGGGATCCTGTATGTAGTCAATAATAGAGCACAGTTCTCTCATGTGCAACGATACAACGCCACATATTGCGCGCGCACTGCGTGATGAACAGCATTGAGAGTTGATCTCTGTGGCGGTCGGGTTGAAGACAGCACCGACGGTGCTGGTAGCGACTCATGAAGATAAACCGGGTCTGTCAAGACACCGTAGCACCTTGGAAGATCGATATCGCAGCCTGTGACCACATAGTGGCTAACTGGTACGTCAGGTAAGGCAACTGTCTCTTCTGATAATCGTCAGGTGTAGCGTAACGAGTCGATCTCGGGTCGGACGGACGACTTTCTGCACCTTACTAGTAGATCTGGTCATTTGCATCAGCACGCAGCATAGACTCCGTACGGGAAAGAACCCCGAAGGAAATATTTGTTCACACCGGCATGACATGAAGAGAGCGGAAGCTTGTGGTGCTGGCTACAGTTGCGTGCGCGATGACCCATAGAACCTTCCGGGTATGATGGTGGTCCTGAACGTTGATGCGCTGTGTGACCACACGAGTTGTATGACGAGCGGGGGCAGATGGTGAGTCGATGTGAACCCGCGTTTCGGTGGGAGGACGTCGCCGCCGCAAGCATGAATTTCTGAGACTGAGGTTTTTGGGCGGTGTACAGATGATGCGTCGGATGATCGTCTTGTAGCTCACTTAGAAGTGAGAGCCGGACTAAGTCAAGCGTCAAATACACCGCCTATCGTTCGACACGCACCGTCCGGTTGTTTGAACATCGTCACGTTTCACGAGTGAATAGCAGCGCAGTAGACGCCGGGCCAACTCGAAGGGCGATTGGATGAGACAGCTACGAGGAAAAGCTATCAATGCAATGCTCAAGGGTACACGGACAGTATAGTTCAGCAGTGGCTGTCTCAACGATGATGTGGCAACGGTAGCGTCTACCGCCTGCTGGTGACAACTCGACGCGAACGATGGCAGTAGTATCATGCGGCAGCTCTTGACGAACACTCTCGTTCGAGAGGCGCTCCCTGCGCCACATATTAAGAAACATGCCCATATTATACCTGCTGTACGATGTTACGAGTGCTTTCTTGACGCGGCGCGTGAAATCTATTGGCATTAACTGCCCATAAACCGGGATATTCCGTCACAACCCAGTCTAACTTTGACATACCTATGCTATGTTATCCACCGACTCACTGATTCTTTCTGATAACACGCAGGGAAGGAGACAAGCTATTGGGTCTGACCATATAGGTATCCACGGAGCGGATTCAGGTTGGCCATGGAGGCACAGATCAAAGTGTCCCGACGCGTCGTCGCCGCGCTTCGGACGCGGGCCGGCGAGCAAGGCACGCGCGTGCGGGAAGCGCCCGTTCGAGTTCATTCGTGTTGGCTGTGAGCCACAACGAGCTCGACATCTCCACCACCTCCATGGCCTAAGACTACTACACCAACTATACGAGAGCTATCTCTGGACTATAGACTACCGTCTATTTGCTGCTACTATGGCTGAGCCGAGGCCATCATTGAGTGTTAGCGTACCTCGCCGACCTTCGCTTTCGCCGTCTCCCTCGCACATTCCTATAATTGCGCCCAAACCCATGAAGAGCTCTCTCCCAAGCTCTCTCACAACTCCCCAACTCGCTCTGGGAGGATCCGACAGGCATATGTCTGTCGGCGAATCACCTCAACATCCCACCGCACCTACATCGACACATAGTTCTCGACCTTCAGGGCTACCATCACTACGCTCGCTTCGAAGTCTACTACAGTTCGGCTCTGGAAATGGTGGTCAGGGAGGAAGTACGAGTGGGGGAACCACCATCACTTCACCGGGGAGGAACTCTTCAAGCGGCAACTCGGGCAGTCGTCGATCTTTGGCCAACGAACGCAAGGCTTCCGGGACGTTCTTACGACCCGCAGTTCCTGCTGCCAAGGATGAGGACACATTAGTGATCTCCATACAGGCTAGTCCGCGGCAACGTAAGATTGCTTTCAGCAATGGCCATAGCCCTGTCAATAGTCCGAGCCAATCGTCCAGGGCAACAATGCCAGAACCGTCAATGCCTTCTCCATCCTCTCGCGGCGAAAACCCATCTGGCAATCTGCATGGGAGATCACCTTCATGTGAGTTCCCTACTCTGGCGTTCCCCACCAACTCTCACCAGTCGGTTTGTACAGCGCCTGTGATTCCCGCTCTCGAGAAAGAAGACAAGTGGGACCAAGAGCAAATACATCGTGATACCACTCAAGCTGCTCCTATTCAACGTTCACGCGGACTCGGATCTTCTGATGAACTGGCCTTCTCGGGTGCGAGCTCTGGCTGACATCCCTACACCTGTACGCTGATCACCGTCCAGATGTATCACAGGATATCATGGACCGCTCGAATGATAGCGAAAACACCGGTTCGTGGGTAGCTATTTCACTCTGAAGACGACGTCTCAATTTCTTCTCCAACCGCAGATCTGCCGCTCATAAGTTATGGGTCTGATCCGCCATTGAGCCATGAGCTGTCAACTATCTTAGAATCTGACATGTCTGGATTTTCGAGACATCTACCTGCGATCTCGGATAATTCGCGAGATGAGACAGACGGCGACATCTCTGTCGATGAGCTAACCGCGCGCCACAATGCACTGGGTGCACCGCCCTTTCTGCGTTCGCAAGCAGGCAATTCACCCGTCTCCCCGCACAGCATGCCGCGCACTCCCGAGTCGCGGGATACGTCAGACTTGGACCTTTCGACTTCTGATCTCAAGAACGAGGTTATGAATGCGATGAAAGGAACCCGGGCTAGTTGGCTTGATCCTTGCGAAGTTGAAGATGCGACCGACAGTGCACCCACGAGCCCCGACCAGGATGACCCTGCAACACACGAGGCACAAGATAGCTTTGAACTGGACGCACTTGATCCTGATTTGGCCGCTTTACTCAGTCCGAATCGGCTTCCCCTTTCCAGTACACCCGCGCCAGCGATCACACCACCACCACCACCACCACCTTCCTTTACGGCTCCCTCTACATCGACTGGCGTCATTGGCCGGTCTTACTCTCCCTTACGACGCGGGCCGCCAGAAGATATTGGATTCGAATCATCACCTGCTCGCCCTATTCGCCCTCCATTCTTACGAGGCCACTCCGCCAATGCATCGGTGGCCAGCTCTTCTTCGATCCCACGACCTTATCGACCCGCGAATGAACGAGTCAGCCCGGTCCGCGATAGCTTTGGAGACTACTCCGGCAGCTCGCGTTCTGTATCTGATACAACCCTTTCCGGCAAACATGATCGTAGAGTCAGCGAGGACGGTGTGCTGACAGGTCGACGTGCACCCCCATCTCCCCTTTCGCCGGACCTCCCCCGCACGTCCTTGGACCGCGGTCCCTTTACTCGATCCGCAAGCCAGCGTCTGGCTACGCCTGGTCGGCCTGCCCTCTACAATCCTGTTCGTCTCCTGCGCCACGCTGTCGATTCGGCCACCACACCCTCCCGGTGGGACTCCGAGTCAACTTCGCCCTCCTCGCGCACTGGCTCGGGAAACTCGCCCACGTCGCGCGCACCTTCGGTGCTGTCTCGCGCCTCGTCCTCCCTTGGTATACGCAGGGCTCCTCCCCCTCCGCGCTCAAGCATAGATGATACCCGACGACCGAGCCTCAATCTTGACCGCGGCACGCTCGGATATCGTACTCGCAATCGCAGTCTCAGCGTCAATGGCGCGGACGCACGCTCTGATGCGATCGGGCCACGCACAGCGAGGGCCTTTGCCGCTGCCGGTGTGCTGGACCAAGGGCGCGAGCAAGATCGAGACCGCTTCGGCTCCGTGCGCAGCCTAGAACGCTATGGCGCTCCCAGTCGCCTGGCATTTTCTGACATTGGCGCTGCACCCTCACGGCCTGCTTTCTCTGAGGCGGGCTCAGGCAGCTGGCGCAGTGCATCTCGCGCAGGGACTGAGATCGCTTTTGATACACCTCGAACATCTACGGCAGCGACTAGCGTCTCGCGTGCACCATCGCCAAACGCGCATGCAGCTCTGAAGGAGAAGCATGCCATGGAGACGGGCGTCCTTCTTTCTGCGCTTGCCGACTCGCAGCGCACGGCCACCCAGCTCCGCGATGAGAACACCGCTTTGCGCGCGCGCGTTGATGAGCTCGAGGCAGATCTTGTGCGAGCACACACTCAGCTTCGCATAGCTCAGAGGGCCCAGGCTCAACCACCTATACGGGACAGGGCTCCATATGCACCCATATCCCGACCCGGATCAGCGGATGGGCAGCGGCCGATTCGTCGCTTCCAACCCCGTGCTTCTCCTGGGCCATCGCTCCTACCAGCTGCATCTATCGATTCGGAGGATGAACCGACATTCCACCATGGAGATAGGTTGCGCCCGTTGCATAATCGCAAGCCCAGCTCTTCTGGCTCCGTATTTGCGCGTCCTCCCAGTGATATGGATCTGCTTATGCACGAGGCCGTTGGCGCACCTGCATCTTTACGATCTGCGATGTCCACATCACCGCTGGCTCGTTCTATATCACCCACTCAAGAGTCTCCGCCACCCACGGCGCGGGGGAATGAGTTCTCGCGTGACGAATTCACTAGCTCTCGACAGGCAAATCGTGAGGGTGATCCACCCTCTTCGCCGACCTCTACGAGCTTCACCACGAACACCGACGGACCCGGTGGTTCACCAAGGAGTTTATTCCTCCGGCCAGAGCACGAGCAGCTTTTAGGTGATATGCCCAGCATCGAGCTAGACGAGCACCGTAACTCGAAGTTGTGGACGGGCGAATATGGCACTTAACCATCTCACCATTGGCATCTACCTTCTTCTCTTATACTCGGGACAATTCATTCCATTCATCATTCGCGCATTCATTCGCTCATCTATCGTCATCTACATCGTCACTACATCTGCATACTCTCCGTATATACCAATTCATCTTCACCTGCTGGTCTGTCCGGATTCATCTACTGATATCACACACTACCTATTACCCTGCTGAGAGAATGCTTTCTCCTTCGCTTTGCGCACGCATACCACGTCTCTTTTGCACTGTAACCTGTATACCTATGTCTGATAATGGCGTTCTCGCCCATTGCTTGCGCTCGCCGAAGGAACAGAGTGACCTGAAGTAGAGTTGTATACTGCAACCGACATGCCGTATCACGATCGTCATCGTCATTGAGCCATCTGTTATCTCTAAACATCCACTGCCGGTACGGTATTGGCTTTTTTCCGACTTGTCTGAGATCCAGTCCCAGAAGTTGTTGCCGTTGGTGTCATTTCATACTCTTCTTCGACGCTCACGATAGCCTCTTCATCAGCAAAGGTCACACGACCTCGTCTCAACGTTCTTAGCGCGCGGGGATTTGCGTGCGGGCGTGTAGTCACATCACCAGTCGTTCTTCCAACCTCTATGTTCGTGGTAAGCTGGAGACCTGTAGTTTCGGGGCCTAAAGCGTCCGTGAAGCGAGGTCTGTCTATATGATGTGTGTTGAGGATCAACCGATAACCTGCAAATGACTCGACCGAGATAATCCACCTACGCGATCGTATTGAGTATTGTGCGCAATGGGTTCACGCATGTGAAGACTCACTGGTATGCGACTGCTGCTAACGAGCCGTTGAGACCAAGATAGAAGCCTGCATTAACACACAAGACAACTAACAATGGTGTGAGAAAGAGGGTACGGCTGAGGAGAGGTGCGAAGATACTTACAAAAGATCAACGCAAAGGCCCAGATACCATCACGGACAACCACCGTCAGAATTGGAGCATCTCCCCATCCAGAGAGCAGGGCTTTGACGAATTTGACGAGCATCAGCACGAGAAGCACCGTCTCGAAAGCAATCACCGCGATGCTGGATGGGGAACGTGATCCTTCTCAGTGTCGTGGAACTGATGACGAACGTTCAACTGACCCGAAGCCCAAAAGGGAGAATGGTGAATGCGTTACAACACACACCGAGTCGAACTCTACCTCCGGAACGACTTTGATGAGCGTGATGAGTATGGCCAGGTTTTCACCCACGAATAGCGCCGCGAGAATCCAGGTTACCCATGCACTCCCGTTGTACAGTGCATTGACTGGACCACGCAGGCGGTCAGCTTCCGTACCAGTCGAGACGACCAGAGAACCCGCACCTCGAATCATGAGGATAATCTCAACAGCAGCCACCAGTAAATCCGTAGCCACCTCCTGATAGATGTACCATGAGACACACGACTTCCGAGTGTAGTTGAATCCCGCGGAGATATCTGTTCCAACGAAGATGAGGGACCTGTCCTCATGTGAGCATCATCTACAAGGATCGAAAGGCGCACATACAGTTGCATTCCGAGGGCAAAGTATCGAACGAATAGGAAAAGCCACTTGATCCAGGAAGTATGGGGTTTGCTGAACATTCAGCTCAGTTCTAGCGCTCCGCATCCCAACTTATGTTAGCTTACGGCCAGATGAACGCCACCTCGTCTCGCAGAGTCAAAACTATGTCGTACGTCAAGAATGTTGTCGCGGAAACTGAGGGGACATATTCTTAGTCTTCCTTTGTTGCGCCGAGGACTGTGGCTCTCACAAGAACTACATCCAATCACGAAAGATGCAGACGACATTCCCTAGCATTATCCGGTCCTCTCACCGAGGCGCAAGCATGGACCAGACGCAGAAGCACCCTCCCGCGCAGAGATGGACGGAGGAAAGGGGCGAATCATCAAGGAAGCCAGATACCCTGGACTTTATATCATGATGAGCTGGCATACCGTTACTGAGAGAAGAGTTTCAACGCACACAAGCCCGCCGATAGTGATGCCAACGCGCGTGACTGAATTTATCGGGTTAATTCGGTCGATCCTATGGCCTTGATCACGGTGAGATGAAATATTGTATGACGCTAGAGCGCCCAGCGCTGATGTGGTAGTGGTGCTGCACTATATTCCCAGAGGGTCTCTGAGTCGCTATGAGAACAGGTCGCCTTCGATACATGGTGGTCAATCGGTAAACAGCATCCGGCGGCGCGGGTGACGCCTTGGCGTTACTGATAAAATGTGACTGGGTGACAGCACGCGCCGTTCAAGGTCAAGCAGCCCTTGTCCTCTCCCTCCAAGAGCTTGCGAAGTCCCCGAGCACGATTTGACGTAGTTAGTGAACAATTCACTTTGAATCTGGCGGAGCGAATAGGCCTGCAATAGCTTGGCATGGGCGAGGCGAGCAGAATGTTCCCAGGATCAAGTGCTAGCCTATAGCCATGGAGCTACTTCGCGTAGCACGGCATCGCCGGCCACGAACTGACGTACCGATTATTTCCTCTTAGATGACTACTACAGCTGGCACAGAACGGACTCCCGGAGAGCGGAAGATGGTTTACGGTCAGCACGCCACTGAGCGGCTCGAGTATAGTAGGCGCGCACTAAGATTAGCGCAACAGTGCGTCTGGGGAACTCCGGACTCAAGGTTTCGAAGATCATCCTGGGATGTATGAGCTACGGGACTTCTGAATGGATGCCATGGGTCTTGTCTCGAGACGAAGGGGTCAAACATATAAAGGCCGCGTGCGTGAAAGTGTTGGGTGGAACTCGCTATTCCGGCCCGTCTCTCACCTGTGAAACAGGTATGATGCGGGAATCAACTGCTTCGATACTGCCAATATCTACTCGAATGGCCTATCCGAAGAGATCTTAGGACAAGCCATCAAGGAGCATAGACTTCCCCGCGATGAGATTGGTATGCTTGGCGTCTGATACCTTCATCAGCACCGTAACTCACCAGCGTCCAGTGGTCATGACGAAGGTTGGCGGATTTTAACCACTCGCGTGAAACGTTGACCAATGTCACGATGGCCTCATAGGTGTGCGAACTCGTCACGCGTACGCAAACGGAGCGACACCGGGGCGAGACCAACCCCGAAGACTTTGGCTACGTGAATCAGCGCGGGCTGAGCCGTAAGCATATCTTCGATTCCGTGAAGCACAGCCTCGATCGGCTTCAGCTCAGCTATATTGATGTTCTTCAATGTGAGGACAAGCTGTACTGGCCGGGATGAACTCTGCTGAATGACAAGCAAGGCCATCGTTTCGATCCCAATACTCCGATCTCGGAGACCGTGCGTGGACAATCCATTCATCACTTTCGCGCTTGCGTACATTGCACCTCCAGATGCAAGCTCTGCATGATATCGTCAAACTCGGATACGTGAGTGTAAGATGCACTTCCATGGGTCACCGATTTGATGCTTCGCTAGGTTCGGTACATCGGCATGAGTTCATGTTATACTTGGCAATGTGACCTTGTTCTCCCCAGTCGTCCTACAGCTGCTGACCCGAGAAAGTTATGGCAATGCAGAGTGCGGACCATCGTCAGAGATCGAAGCGCGCGGCTCATCTAACTACCCAGACTACGCGCTCAACAATGGGCTTACACCCTTCATCTCCATGCAGAACCACTATTCGTTGGTGTACCGTGAGGAGGAACGCGAGATGAATCCCGCGCTGAAGGTGCGCATCGGATGCAGGCGCTTCCTGGGCGATCTTCCGCTGACGTTCTTGCGTTCTATGCAGCATATGGGAGTTGGATCTATCCCTTGGTCCCCTCTCGCCCGCGGTTTACTCACACGGCCCCTGGACTCCGAGAAGACCACTCGGGGTGGCTATGACCGGTACGTACGAAGGTTTGTATAGCGTCAAGCGGGGACCTGAACCTTGTGAAGCTGGATTGCGATGTACCTGAAGGACTCCGGTGCAGAAGAGATCGTTCGCCGGTACGCCCATGCCCTGCTCCGCTTCGCGATGGCCTGTTACGCACATGTACTGGTTCTAGGGTCGAACAAGTCGCGAGAGAGAAAGGCGTCAAGATGAGCCATGTCGCGCTCGCTTGGGTTCTCCAGAAAGAGCGTGCGTACTCTTCTCTTCCTCTCGGCGCACCACAACTCGGATCTTGATACACGGGATTTCGGACAGCCGTCTCCGCTGCAGTTGTAGGGACAACGTCTCTCAACAACTTGAAAGATCTGATCGGTATGGGCTGCGTTCACGTTGGGAATTACGGCCATTGAAGCGCTGATGAACGACCTGTGTAGCCGCACTGGACGTAAAGCTGTCCTCGGAGGAGATGCAGTTCTTGGAAGAACCCTACCGCCCGATGCCTATCATCGGGCACTGAACCCATCTAGAGGACAGAGGAGTGGCGGCGTGGAGAACGAAGGGTGACTAGCGATGTATATTCGGTATGATACTAAGAAGCCATGCAAGCTGAAGGCATACAAATGTAAAAGGTATCGAGCATTACTCTACATGTACAGTAAGCGCATCCATGGTGAAACTCGAACGAATCATGGACAAAACCAAACTACCACGTCGCCAGCGATGAGAGGTATAATACATGTATAGTAGCAGATGACAGAACGCGGGCGAGCAGCAGCAGATATCAATAAGTAGTAAAGGGGGGGGGGGA